GCTTCACACAGAACCCAATATGCCACATTTATTATTTAGCCACCGCACACGTCGCTCGCTCTCCCTCTCCGTCTTCACTGATGATGGCGTTCTTCTCCCTCACCCCCCCCCCCCCTCTCTCTCTCTCTCTCTCTCGCCGGGGTTATCTTTTGTGTTTGCACATGCACGCAGCTGCAGGGCTCAGCCGCGTCCTGCCAGTCAGGAGATTGAACGCCACTCGGTCCCCGGAGCTGCAGCGACTGGCGCGTCCTCTGCGACTCAATTCTGCCGCATGGATTCTTCCGTCAGCAAGCTCTGCCTGGAGCGAGGCAGGAGGAGATCGGAAAACATTTGTGCACCCACACACACACTCACACACACACACCAAAACAATATGTATTCAAGTACAGTCGCACACCTCCACACACGTTAACCGACACTCGGCGCACGCCCCCGAAATCAGAGCGAAACTCTCTCTTTCTGAGCCGCTGGACTGAACGCGGTTTAATAACTGATCAAACCAACACCGACCTCTGACCTCAGACGCTCCTCGCTCAAATCAAAGGTCATTTCTAACTCATTATTAATGTTGTCGACGGCAGCGGCCGACGTCAACCACCAGGTCGCTGCCGTTTTTGGCAGAAAACTGGAGTCGAGGAAAGTCAAGTATTTTCTAAACGGTATTTGTGTTTTTGTCTTTTGTCGAGAGCTGAGGATGTTTGGTTTTTTGTTTTGTTTTTTTCTGGTTTGTAACCTGGACAGGAATGAGAATCTTGGCAGGACTCGGTGACGACTCGACCAATGATGGAGAGAACTGAGAAACTGAAAGTGAGGTCGACTATTTTGGCTAACGTCTGACTGAGATCACGGCGAAATATTGATGGAAAAACCTACGACTTCGTAACAAATGTAGAAAAATATGGATAAACTACAAGTCAGAGGAGAAAAATATATTGATATATATATGTATATAATAACAGCTTTATTATCAGGATCTCAGTTTAACCCCCCCAGTGGACAGATGAGGAGTTTACACCCCCACAGATGTTTCAACATAATTATTATTTAAGAATTAAATGATTCAAACATGGAAATATAAATGATTCTACACAGTTGTGTCACATGTCGTACTGCGTCGACTGGAGAGAAACTGAAATTGGTGTCAAAGCTCTGCTCACTTTCTGTTCCACTGACCACGTCAACCATGTAGAGTTTAGAGTTTATTTATTTAGATAAAAATATTTGTCCTCCTATCGGTTTGTAAAAAAATATTTCCTCTGTGTGTATATTTACAGTACATATAATACTACTAAAACAATACTTTATTAAACATTTATAACATTTTTCTTTATGTTCTTCTTTCACGGTTTCATTCCCAAAACAGGGATCTGTTATTAATTAAATTTTGATTTGAAGTAAAATGTTATAAATACTGATTTAGAGACTTATCTGTGACGTAATTTAAGAATATTTATTACATCTCGTATTTTTGGATCAAATGTTGTGGTGAATGTGTAGAGAAAAAAATATATAATAATAGAAAATAATAAAATACATTTTAAAAAATAATTTTAAAAAA